ATTTAAAATCACCTAAAAATAATTAATTTTAAAATATGTAAAAGTTAGTCTAGAGAAATTGCATTAAAAAAAAAAAAAAAAAAGAACTCTTATCATGCCATCACCATCGCCAGATTTATTTTGGTAGACATCCAACGAACTAAATTAATGCTACTTAAACTGTCAGGCTAAAAATATAAGAGAACTTTCACATGGAATTAAATAAGTAAATGCATTGAATATTATGTGTTTCATATAAATTAAAAAAAATTAATTATTTAAATGACACTCAGGTTGTACAAAAATCATTTCTCTATATTAATTACTTATTCTTGAAAAACTTTTGTTTAAAATACTAATTTGGTCCCTCAACTTTGAGATTTATATCAAAATTATCCTTCAACTTCAAAAAATATCAAAATTGTCCTTAAACTTTAATTTTCAATATCAAAAAAATCCTTCCATTAACAAAAGTGTCAAATTACTTGTTATTTTAGTACAAAATCAATTCTTTTTTTAAATACTAATGCCATATAAAATTAAACAATTATATTTTGTTATCATGATATATTTTTATTTACACATCAGATCACTACTAGAATGCATGATATCATTGACAAGAAATCTCATCGAAAACTAAGGGAATAATGTTGGTAAAAAGCTTTTCCAACTTGAAACATGTCGGTAAAATGCTTGTCGGTGTAAGTCTCCCCAATAATTCATTCAATTCACGTCAGTAAACCACTCAAACTTACCGACAAAGAGCATGTCTCAAACAATTTAATAAGAAAAGTACAATCGATTGACTGCTCACGTCAATAAATTTACCAACAAGACTAACCTTTGTAACATATATATTTAATATTATTTCTGAGAAATTTACCGACAAAGCTTTTATCAACATTCTTTATCAACTACCAAAAAAAATAAAAGGCTGTAATACCACTATTTTACCAACTCACATGGAGTTGGTAATGAAAAAAAAAAATCATTGTTAATTACTAATGAAAACTACGTTGGTACAATAATTTAAAAAAAAAATACAATTTCTTAAATTAATACTAATTTTTTTTATCTAATTCAATATATTTATTGTCAAATATTACTTAATTTATAACT